TGTGTGTGTACCTCTAAAAATTTATTCATTTTATTTGCTTATATATGTACACGTTTTAATGTTTATAAGCGCACATAAAGCATCAGGAGAGCAATAGATGAGTGGTAGCGAGAGTTGGAGTAGTAAAAAAAAGAGTATTATATGGGCATATCGGTATGGCACACGACGAGCAATAGCAGCAGGCAGCAGCGTGATGTATCCGTGTCTTTTCCATCTATAACTATACACATACAGTGCGCCTCACTCTATGCCTGTGTACTGAGAAAGAGAAAGAAAACGCGCGAGCGCTAGCACATAAAACATACATTTTACATTTTTAATTGTAGTTCTCTGTTCGAACTGCGAGTTATATTTTCTGCGCACTTTCATCTCGCTTCGAATCGAGAGCTCATATCGTCGTTCGGTTCGTTCGTTCGTTCGTTCATTCGTTTTGCTCATTCGTTCGCTCGTTCACTCGGCTGCCTTGCTCTTGCTCGTGCCAATGCCCAAAAGCACACCACATCTTCTCTTCGGAATTGGTGTCTGTGCACAGCCTTACCCGATCAAGAGATATAACAAATACAAGCGCGCACACACCACCAGTGCGAAAATTCTAAAGCGAATCGGAAAAAGAAATATAGAACGAGCGTATATTTTATGAATGTTGAGGAGGCGGTTTTTCCATTCCGTAGTCGTTGTCGTCATCATCATCATTACAATAAAGCAATAGTAGAAAATGCCAAGCAATAATATTTTTTGGCCATAGAGATGGCGATAGAATGAAAGCGTACATACACAATTTTGCTGGAGTGTTGTGTTCAGAGTGGCGTATGCTTGTTACATTGCCAACCACCAACTAAATTTCGTAGCAACGTTCGGCTTTCCTTTCATTCGTTCGTTTCAGTTGCGCTTAGGCTCAAAAAATTGAACACTAAATTTGTATTGGTTTCAACGAATTCGGTGCGATTAATGAAATGCCGAGGCGATATCAGGCGATTCTTTTTAGTTATCCGATAGGAAATGCTTGTTGATTTGAAAATTGCTCACACAATTGCGCAGCATAACGCGAAAGTATGCGACAAAATAAACGAATCCATGAACGAAAAAAACCAGTAACATGCCAATTTTAAATCACAGAACAAACATGTAATTGTGAAATACTCGACAGAAACAAAAAGCCATCACTTGAACAGTGCAAATATCTATTCCGAGTAAAAAACAAGCCCTTCATTACTACCTTCATTGAAAGTAGATGAAAGCAGCAGCATCAGCAACAGCAACAGCAGTAGAAAGAGAAAAATTCAACTATAATTGACGCACACAGAGCCACAGTGCCCGTATACGGGGAAAATCTTTAGAATAAAACGGGAAAGTTTTCTAACAACCGTCGACAACGAATAAAATGGAAAGAAACGAATGAACGAATGAAACAAAAAACACACGAAAAACTTTAAATGAAAGCAGCAGCAAAAAAAGAGCGCACAAATCGTAAAACCGACGCTAAGAAGAAGAAGATGATGAAATAGAAGTGTAGAATGCAAAAAATCGAACAAGAAAAAATATGCGACTGCCTTCACCCTCATCTTTCAATGAGCCCAAAGTACAATACACAATACAACACCAAGCGCGGGCGAAAGAAGGAGAACGGAAGGGAAGAAAAAAGAAAGATGAAAACGAATGAACGAACGGTGTGTGGTTCAAAATGCTATTATTTCTAGTTACAATCGTTATATCCAGTGCTTCCAGCTCTCACTTCTTCAAATCCGCCGCTAAGTTCAGGAGCGAGCGAGCGAGCGAGCGAGCGCACCCGCACTCGCTATATTTTATTGTTTTTGTTTTTCTCTCGTTTTATACTTCTCTTTTTTTCTGTACACGTATATACAAAATCCTTCTCTATTATTCCGCCACTCCGCACTACGTTTATGTTGCCGTTTGCCCTGCGTTTTCTATGTGCTCTCGCTAACTTTTCGTTTGGTATTCGATAGCAATATTTTATTTTTCTGCCAACGAACAAAGTGAAATGTTTTAGACTCGTTTTCCTCTATTTTCTTCCTTCTCGTCGACGTTGAATTTTAAGAACGAAGATGTCGTCTTCGCCGTCGTCATCGCTGTTGTCTTGGCGAATCATTTTAGAGCGAACCGATGCGCGCACGAGAGCAGGCGTTTCAGTGAAATGAAATTTCAAAATTTCAGTTTCAAAAATTTATCGGTTCAGCGCGAGGGTACACACAGCGAATACCACAGGGAAACATTTCTTTCGTCGATTGTACATAAAGAAATGGATGCGCGCATACCAACAATATGTACGGATTCTATATCCATCAGCGATCAGCATCTCGTTGCATAAATATTGAAGCCGATGGATGATGGAAACGGTAAAGGCGAACGAAAGAAAAACGACTTTTGCACTAGCAAATAAAAAATACAACACACAAACACACACACACACACACACATCGACACAGAAAGGGAAACGACGAGAAAAATATGAGCACTAAGACATAAAACTATTTCGCAATGTGAACAATTTGCCATTTTATTCGGGCGAGGGGATAAAAATCGATATGATATGAATTTTATGACGACGATAGAAAACGAAAGAACAAAAAAAAAATAAACTGTAAGAATGGCGATAAGGAACCAATGCGAAAGATTATTTCATGACTTAGACATAAGTGGCTAGAGTTGTATGTTGTGCGTAGGCAAGTTTGCGAGAGAGAGAGAGAAAAAGAACACAAGAGCTGGAGCTAGCTCACTCACGCTCTCGCTCGCTCGCTCGCGAAGCTCAGAACAAAGCGAGAGAAAAAAAAAAAAGAAATTATTTATACATTTGTTATCTTTGTGGCAGAGTGAACAATTCCAGAAAGATTATTATATTAGTGGTTTTTCCATATTTGCTCATGTACGCCTTCTACGAGTCTAAGTCGAAAAGGATTCGTGTATGAATCGAGTCGTAGTCACACAAACAGCTACGATATTCTATGAAAAATGACGAATTTTTGGTTCCACCCAATTCCAAATCAACATCATTTCCTTTCCGTTCATTCTCTCACTCACACACAGTGCCATTGCCACACTCGAAATTCAATTATAGCAATAAAGCAATACATTTCAGAGATCAACTTCTTAGCAATATGTAGTGAGCTTTAAAATCATATTCCCATTTATTTAACTCGTTCAGTTTTTGAAGCAGTGGGAAAAATGAAACAAAGCGAAAAAAACAGAGTAAAAAGAAGCGAAGAGAAAGAGAGTGAGCGCATTTGCGTTGGCAAAGAGTTAAATATGAGGAGGGCGATGAAATAAGCATCGAACCTTATTAAATGTTGAAGATGTAGTTTAAATAGTAATCGAATCGTTGCGATTACCACCACACGGACACAGAAAGCTAAGCAGTGAACGTCGACGAAACGCGCGCGCTACAGCATTCCATACAAATCGCATTCAACAGCAAAACTAATACATAAAATGCTGTACACGCACTTTATGTTCATTTTTTTCGGGAGGAAAAAAAGAAGTGAGCTCCAAACAAATGCCCGACGCATTTTGCAACACTGTAACAAAGCAAACGAGTGTGCTGAGTATGAGCGAGAGCGCGAGAGAAAGGGAGAGACAGAGTGAAAAATCCCGTGGAAAACATTACATTCAATAGAAAAAGCAGATGTCTCGCATACCAATAAAGAACAACTAACAGTTTAACGAAACGCAGATACAGGCAATTTTTTCAATGTGTTCCCTTTTTTCGCCCTGGTGGTGTGCCGCACGGTTTTCAATCCAAATATTTCTCCGTTTGACTGATTTCTCTGTCTCCTCCAACTATTTGCATGCTAACGAAGAAAAAAAAAATGTGCCTTACCATCAGCGACGAGCATTGCTGAATAGCAACAGCAGCATCAACATCTCAGCAGTGATACTGGTGCTGGTGCGTCCGTGTGTACGGCGGCTAAAGAATAATGGTGGTGGTTTACACCGCAGCGGTGTGAGTCAATTTACACACTTTTTTCCACTTTTTCCCTTCAACAACCAATACACAGAATGTGTGACGGCCGCAAAATGCGAAGGGGCAATCACATGGCAATGTTATTGTACATAGCTCACTCTCACTCGATCAGCGACGGATGGATTCGATTCCACTTGCTAAACACTGTGTAAACACGGATGCTGTGTCTAACTGTAACACTTCATCACATTCTCGCGGCCTGTATATTGCATACATAGTTTGGTTTGCTCTCGTTTGCGTGCAATTTTAGGGACGATAGAAAGAGCGAGAGCGAGCGAGCGAGCGAGTGTATTGTACAACTAATCGCAAGCATGTGGATAAAGTGGCGAGCGTGCTCTCGCATACATACACACCACCGCAGTCAAAAAAATCTATGTACCATTTTGTTGAGCAAAAACGACAAAGCAAAAAATTCACGGCACACACACACACACACTATGGCAGAAAAAAATTGGTTGCGTTTAGCACGGTCGGTGGGTCGCGAGAGCGCGCGACAACAAAGGAACATAGTAAAAGCGGAGAAAAAAATGTGAACGCGAGCCGAGAAGAGCATTTTTATGTTTATGATTTCGCAGCCAGTGGAATACCGCTATATTTTGCGTTGCGTACGGCTTGAAGCATGTGTGCATTGGAAGAAATGGTGTGCTGTATGAATGGAAGGCTCGTCGCAATCCTACCCACATGATGCTTCTTCTCTTGAACGGTGTGTTCACCGTTTGCCCATACACACAATGAACATTAGTAACGATTGTGAGTGTATTGTTTTTCCACATTTTTATGTGCTCGTTCACGACAATGTGCTCCGACTCCGGCTCTCTGTTTTTCGCTCGCTATGTACAGCGCGCAAGGATCAACGCGATTCAATTCAGTCAGAAGGTTAGCGAGTAAAATTTGTACGAAATAAAATCTAACTGATTCCTCCGCCGGCCGAAAAAGAATAAATGAATAGTAGAAGTATGGGCAAAAGAGCGTGGCGGAAGAGCTCGCTAAACTATACTTTGATGGCGCGCGCGCGTATGCCGTCGACTCTTTGGAATAGTCGCGCGCGAGATGAGTGAGAGCACAGCATAAGCATCAGTAGCAGCGGTGGCAGTGGCGGCGGAGGCGACAACGGCAACAGCATCATTCGAATAGAAAAATGTAGCAACAAACGCGAATTGAATGTGGCAGTTTTTAGAGGGTACATGTAGGCGGTGTTAGAAATTTTTTGATGGTGCTGGTCCATTATCCATCGTGATTGTCGCGCGCGCTCTACTCTACTCTCACTCGCATCGGCTCACACACAATTTTTTGGCATTGCGTATTGCCGATTGTCGAGTGTATGCGTGCCAAACAGACATTCATTATTCACTCTCTCGCTCTCCCATTCGCTCTGTGCTCTATCTATGAATCGCTTGTGTATTGGGCTAAGCTCTCAAAGCAACTAACTTTACACGTTGCACACACATACAAATTGAAGCACACGTCTGCTCGTAACGCCGACAGTATCAACACTGGAGCACACAAAAATCCGACGAGGAAAAAAAAGAGAGAAGAGAACTGCACGATAGAACTACGGTTTTATGTACACGTAATATATCGAGAAAGGAAAAGAAATGACGGGAAAAAAAGGCAGCAGAAACGAAACGGCATATTATACGTACACACAGTGATACGACGAGAACGAGAACAAGGCATACCGAAATACATGCGATTTTAATATATATATATATATATATTATTTTTCTCTCGTATTCTCGCGCGTTCTGTGTTGTGTGTCAGCTCTCGTGCTGGTGGCTGAGTTTTAGCGAGAGAGAAAAATACAAAACCATCATAACATTTGCTGCAAAAGATTTCGAACCGTCGCGGCAGTCAAACGGAATCCTTGACGGCGGGTAGTTTTATTTCTTCATCACTACCACCCAAAATCAATTCAACTGAAATTATCACTCAAGCTCAAACATTTCACAAACAAAACAGAAACAGTTTTTGTTGGAAAATTTATTTTTTTTTTTTTGAGTTTAAACCAAAAAAGAAAAATCAAATGTAAAATTTAAATTAAACGAATGCAAAGTTTGAAAAAAAAGAACGTTGTGCTTCGAAATAAATAGAAGGTGTGAATAAGCGTTTTAGCATTTAAAGAAAAACCATTTACAGTTTTTTTCCAGTGATTTTCTTTCAATTTTATAAATTTTCTATTTTTTTTGTACAATTTGTTTGGTTCATCTGGTGCAAACAATTTTTTGTTTTATCGAAGTGTTGTTTTCGGAAGAACGGTCATCATTTTTTTGACATTTCATAGGAATTAATCAGTTTAGTTTAGAATATTTGTCGTGCTTAGAACGAAAGACGTCGAAGTAAGCAGGAAATTACGAATATGTTGAATCACCAAAGGCGGCTTTGAATTTAAAATGTTTTGACATTTGTCATCCAAACATACAACTACTTTGTCGTGCATTATTCACAATGAATATCATTCCAAAGTGATCATCATCGGTTACATACGTTCAACAACGAGACAACGGTAATGCACTCACTTTCCTTTACATGCCATTCTTATGCATACACCGCTCGCTGTGTCGGCTTTGTATCTGTCTCTCATTCGTCTGTGTCAATAGCTATCACAACAATCGGCGATTCACGATATTGTGTCCGAAGTGACAAGATGCGACTCGTTCATTCTTCCATGCACAGACACTCGCCGAAACACACACACACACACACTGTCGACCGATGTCAAGCAATAATAATAATGATCAAACTGAAAGTGAAACACACCAAAACCAAACGAAACAAAAACAAACAATTCGCATAATTTGTGTTTTTAAAACGTGTTTGTGAGTGTAGCTGTCTGTGGATACACACAATGTGTGCCAAAGTATAGAACGGTAGAGAATGAGACGAAAAAAGACATCAACACATTGACATTGGCCGACGATAAGAGTTTAAGAAAAAAAGAACAATAAAGAAGAAGAATCAGCAGCAAGAAATTCGCAAAAATTCACAATTGTCAATTGGGACTGTTTTTTTTTGTTGTTGTTGTTATCTTCTGTCATATAAAAATTGCTATTGTTAATATTGTGATGATCCTGAATCGCACACAGTCGCATAATGAACTGAAACGACAACGGCAGACAAGAATGGCGAGAAACAAACAAAAAAAAGGGAAAGAAATCCGAATATTATGCATATCAAATCCATATTCATTGGGTCTAGCGTATTCGTTGAGTGTGCAAAACGAAATGTGTGAATGAGAAATAGCCGCAAAAACGAGCAAAAACGAGCAAAAACACACAAATAGCAACACACATTTTTGCGACAGAGAGAAAGAGCGAGCGAGAGTGTGAGACGAGAACGTATCATACAGACGAAGAACATACAAAAAAATGTCTTATTCATCGCTATCGTTTTCGATTGTGTGTATGATTATTTTCGACTATAGTATCCGTCGTTTTCGTTCCATATGCTGATCTATCCGCTACCTCAATCGTTCTGTGTGCGTTCGCATTCTCGGTTTCGCAATTTTGCTTTCTTCGTTCGTCCGATTGCCATTACTGTTGCTTTTCTTCTTCTTCATTTTGTTTTTGCGTGGCTTAAAATCGTTGTTGTCGTTTGTTGTCGCAGCCATTGTCGTGTACATTTTGCTATCGCCGCAGAAGAGTGTGAAAAAAAAATAATATTTCGGCTAGCAAAGGCCACCAATATAAATATATCGGGCCGTGTGTGTACACACACGATTGTGTCGCAGCGAATATGATCGCTCCGACGCCATACATCATCGCAGCCACGGAATTTCAAATACATTATTAAATATTGCAATACAAAAAATATGTCAGTCAAGTAGTGTATAGTATGTATCGCATCCTCAATCGCCGCCAGTCCGAATGTATTTGTTATAAAAAGCGCGTCGTTTGTCTCACTCTATCGTATTAACGCCCAATTATTTGTTCGCCCATTTCATTCTCTCGTGTATTTTTTTTTCTTTTCGTTTTTTCTTGTTTCCATTGTTGTTTTTGGATTTGCCTATTGCGGTTTCGATGGATTCATCATCCATTTGGCTGGCGATACGCGTACGGTGCCCGAAAAACTTTTCGTTGCTTGCCATTATTTTTGTTAGTTCGACCTCATTGCTCATCAAAGATGGATATTCTCTCTTTCGCTCGAATTTTCCAATCGAGTACATTTAAGTAATTTAAAGAAGAAAAAAAAAGTCACACCATCGAATGTAACCATAACCGTAACCAGTTCGTACTCCAAAACATTGATTAGAATTATTTTTGTGTTTGGTTCTTGCAATTTTTGTTTCGATTTTTTTCTCCTTCGAAGCACAAAGAATAATAATTTTTGAGAATTTATTTTTTTTATTTTTTTCGTGTTGCCAAAATAATAACTTTTTTTTTCGGTTTGAATACAAAAATGTCGGTCGAATCAACAGTTCATTGGTTAACGGGTAGCATGACGAAAAAAAAAAAGACAACACCGTTCAACATAGAATAAAATGCACCGTGTATGTAATATACGGTAAACATGTATGGCAACAGTTTCAGTTTCAATTTCACTTTCATTTCGCCATGTGTGCATGAACAGTGTACGGTTGCGCTTGCATTGCGTTTCAGAATCTGCCTCTCATTCCGCCTCACACTATTCGATTCTCGGTGTGTGCCGTTTTTCCAGTGGCTGTTCATCGGTTCATACGGCCAAATCACATCCACACAATCTGCATATACCAAATGTACACTGCACATACGCTGTATTTCGAACCAATCCAATCAAGTCCGTCATTTGACTGAAATTTTATTTTCAAACAAAAACACAAACAGAACTTTGTACGCACATCGACTCGAAAATTACGATAACAACATTTGAATATCTAATTGAAACAAAAAAATTATTTTTCTGTTTGCAGAATAACTACTGGAGTCTATCATCACGACTCGAAACAAAAAGAAAACATAACAAACAAAGTGATTTAGAGAGAAAACAACGTGTTAAACATTTTTGATTCACACTAAAATGAACTGAATTCCGCGAATTTTATCAAAATGTATACAAAAGTGATTAAGACTCAAAGAATCCACAAACTATATCGGACAATGTAGAATTGAAAGTGAAGAGAAAACAATAACAAGAACTTTAAGTGTAGACGATTTTAATTTGATCTTTATTGAAAAGAAATCGAAAAAAATCGACCGTTTGATTTCGATAAATTAGTCTCCAGGATTGAATTGAATGACATTTATATTCAATTCAATTTTATAACACGAGACAAGCTGTGCCAACAACATAATATCGTGCATTCAAAACGCACTTTGAAACTTAATGAACAAACTTACGATAAACATTGTGATCTAATACGCATATATATAGAAAAAAAACTCTTAAAAAAGGAAACACGAAATTGACTCACGTCAAATTTCCCCTCGGATATCATTTACTTAAAAACAATATTTTTATTTCTTAATTGAACACGAACAAAACGTTTATTGATCAAACGGTTTACGCGCGCGCGATCGCGATTCCTTGCAATTTGTCTCGATTGAAACGGAATTTCAAATTCATTGTCAATACTTTTTTTCCATTGTGATTTTTTTTTACGTTTGTGATCTTTTTTTATTTTTTAATTATTTTAACGTTAATTTAAAAACCAAAAAGAAACTAGTGTTTTTGTGTGAACCGGAAAAGAAGTAGTCAGAAGGCAATTCGCAAATCCGATCCACAGAACTACAATTGAGGTAAATTTTTATGTATCAATAAGTACCAAATTTGATTGTACTTCTTTTTTTTTTTTGTTATTTATCTCGCCAAATTTTTGAATTTGACCTTGGATAAGAGAGAAAGTTGACATACTATCTCGGTATTTTTGTGGCTCATGTGTGCGTCAAAATTGTTTCAAAAAAAAATGTTTTCAACACTGATAAAACTATCGCTTACACCCAAAAATAATTCCATGGCTGCCTTAATCATAAACTATAAGCGAATAGCAAACTTTTTCAAAGAATGGATGACGAAGTTATCACACTGATTTATCAAAAGCGGCGACAAAATCTAGGGAGCGAAATGAATTGATGCTTTGCGAGTATTTTGGCAAAAACTCACAACGTTTTGCAAATATAGATTATGTAGAATGAGCACAAAATATTCGTTCGTGTGCCGTAGCTGTTTCTTTTTCGTTTCGTTCGTAACTTATTTGTTTAAAATGGAACATGAAATGATTAGTCTTAAAACTATAGCTATAGTTATTTTGTTTATAGGACAGAATGAAGCGATAATAATGTCTGTTGACTCAACGCTCACTCTCTCTCTCTCCCTCTCTCTCTCTCCCTTTCTCTCTTTCCCTCGTTCACCATTTCTTAATTATTTGGCTGTATCAAAAAAAATGTGTAACATAGCACCAAAATCAACGTCGCAAATTACGATTCGCACCGGCATTTCGATGCTATTTTTGCGATAGCAAAACGAACAAAAAAGATAAACGAAATCCATAATCGTAGCTAGCAACTAACTAAATAGTGAACTAAAAAGAGAAAAAAAAACTTTGAATGGAAACAGTAAGTGTTTTGTGCTTAGTTTTGCTTGATATGGGAATAGGGGGTCAGTTTGCGGTGATTAGTTGTCAAATTCAAATTAAAACAAAAAAATCTGTTGCTTGTGATATCGGGCGAAGATTACGTTTATCGGTTGAGTTTTTCAACTAGGCAATTTTGGAACATAGTTCGTTTTTGCGTACACTCATCATTTTTAGTTTGCGAATTCTTTACCAATAAATTTTTTCTCATTGTTTCTCGTCTCGGCTTACGAATCTCGTTCACAAATCTTTTTTTCGTCAACGTAAACAACGTTTTGCTATAAACAATACTTCGAAATTGAAATCTCATTTAATTGGATTTGAGTGTGTTGCGTTGTGTTAATTGGAATGCGTTTTTTTTTTCATCGACGCCGACTTTTGTCAATTCACGCAAGTGTCAATAGACTACTTTCTATTTATATCGATTACTTACATTTAGAAATCAATAAAAGACAAATTCGAAAAATATCACATATCGTGCAATTGCAACCATTTTATCGTTGTTCCAACTGAAAAAGACCACTTTCTTAGTATTCTGCACCACAAAAAACAAAATCAAGAACAAAATGAATCGATACATAAGAAACACTTGTCAAAACGTTGATCCATTTTGGATGAACCGAAAGCAGACCAAATATTGTTTAACTCTATTAAATGATAGCATTGGCAAAAGTACAACGACAGAGAGAGACAGAGAGACAGAGAGAGAGAGAGAGAGAGAGAGTGATCGCGAAAAAAGCGCACGTGTGTGCAAATAACAGAAACCAACTATCCAAACAAAATGACGATAAATAATGATGAATTTTTTGAGATGCGTTAGTTAGTACGAATAATTCGAATGAAATGAAAACAATGAACCGTAAGCGGGTATTTAAAGAGAAAACAAAAAGAAAAATTAAATCTGCAAATAAGAGACATTGCAGTCCTCGATTGATTAGTTCGATCCAAGTGAAACAAATACATTCGCTGTGCACCAAATCTGTTTTCAATGTCTCTTTCTGCGATCATCGCCGTTGTCGCAACACCAGATTTTCAATTAATTTCGCCGATCGCCTTTTTTTTATTTTAGCTATAATATCATTTATTGTATCTGGTTTGCATGTATTAAATGTCTATGTTTAATCTAGATATTTGTCAACAATATTGCTTCATTGAATCGATCGTCAACGACGACGACGACGCTTACACTCATTTCTTCGTAATCGCATTCGTTTCTGTTGAAATAGTCTCTTATTCGCACTAGAGAGACAATCAATAATTCTAAACGTCTAGGGTCTTTACTCTTGAATTATTTTTATTAAAATAATCTCATTTCGACGAATCCAGAAATAATTGAACAACGCAACGGGCAAAATGGAAAACTTTGTCGAATGCATACATATTCTCGCTTACTGGCGATGATTACACGCATTCATTTCACCAATGTACCCAAATGATTTGAGTGGTTTGCGATTTTAGAATCGTATGCGGAAAAAAACTATACCATGAAATAGAAATGACATAACAACGCATCTGGTTTTAAAGCACATAGGCACAGTGCAAAGTCATCGCAAAACACACGAGAAAAGAAAGAGTAAAGCTAGCGATAATTTTTTTTTCGAGATGATGCCATGTATAAACACGTAGCCACGTCCTGACTACCATACCTATAGTTACTAGTGTAATATACAACTATAGCAACATTCGTTGCTCTCCTTCTCTTATTCACACTCTTTTTTTGTCTAACAGTTCATTTTTTTTCTCGCAAGAAATTTGCCGAAAAAAAACGTGCTCTAATTTTGCAAGCGCACACATACACACGGAGAGAGCAGCGAAAGTGGGAATTTTTCCTTACTCAACTATCTCTTGCGGTATCGCAGCTGATTTCATTATCTATTATCTTTATACAAGGCGAACGCACTGTATATATTATAGATGTATTCTTCTATTTTTTGTTGTTGTTGTTGTGTGCTTCTATTCACAATTTGCAATGCCCTATCTCAAAGCGGCACATAACCATAGAAGTATATAGTAAATGCTGATTTTGCTGCCGATTTTGTTTTTTCGGGCGTGCTAAAAAAAACGCATTTTTATCAAGGCGGGCGGAGAATGGCTCGAAGCAACTAGAAAAATTAGTATCAATTTATGTGTTGTCCAAGGTTTTAGTGTAACCAATCATATATCGGTCGAATAACCAAACATTCATCATCATTTTAATCGCCCATAAATCGTTTGAATAAACATCTGACACATAAGAAAAGTCAATGTTGCCGGCTCTCTCCATTCGTTTTGATACACCGTTGCGTTGTTTGAAAATAGTTTTCCCATTTTCTTTGCTGCGTTTCATTCCAATGGCCCGCTCACCGTTTTTCCCCCGTTCTATTTCCTGGTGTATTTTCTTGGCAAGCATTTAACCGGCACACAACCAAAAACACCAAGCGCAGAGAGAAACCGAAAGTGAAAGTGAAATATATCGACTACAAATTCAACCGACATCCAAACATTCTTCGTTCTATCTACACTTTGTTAAAAATAGTTTATTTATACACAGAGAGGAAGAAAGTTAATGATTGGGAAAGAGGTTAAGAGGAAGCGAGAGTGAGAGAGATTCGCATATTATGCGCGCAAGCGGTTCAAGATCAATCGACGAACCAAGCGAAAACTGCAACCATTTCAATAAATCTTCCATTTTTTCCAACGATATTATTCCTTGACTTGAAACTAAAAATAAACACCATAATTCTCTTGACAACATGCACAGGCACACACGCATATCGTTCGATGTGTTTGCTTTTTCTAATTATTATTTTATGACTACAAGAAGAAGAATACGCACAATAAAACCACACTATGGCGCACTGTACACGTATTAGAGCGGCTGGCGCACTATAACATTGTCGTAAAGATTGAATTTCAATGAAAAACAACATGAATCATAAATGGAAAGACGCGCCAAATGGCCAATTGCTCGTGACGAAACGATTTTTAGTTCAAAACAAGTGTTTCGAATAGATGTAATTGTTGTTAATTAAATTGAGAGCAAAATGGGTAATTTTACGCAATCTAAGCGATTACATCGATTTTGAGGCATGAAAACAGGAAATTTGGCGGAGCCGCCGCCACTGCCGTCGCTAATTGTTTTCGACTAGATTCAATACTAGGCAAATACTAACAACGCAGTAGGTCCAAAAATCATTCACAAATTTCATGCACATTTCGATTCGTCGACACAAATCCGCGGATGAAACGAGTTATGACAGAGACAATAGCATTGTTCCAATCGGATTGCGCTGCTGTTGTTGTTCTCTTCTTCTTCTTCTTCTTACGGAGCAAATAGAAATTGTGAATTTTTGTTTGGTGTGTGCAACACAGTGCGCTCTAGACACAAACCACACACTCTCTCGAATACACGCCGCTAATACACCGACGCGCGTTCACTTACAATTGTGATCGTTGATCGCATCAGCTGCGCGCACCAACGTACAATTCAGCGAGGCAGGCCAGGGAAAAAAACCTTGAACGTTAGTAATGTGTTCATTCGACTCGGTCATTTCAAGTGCATAAGAGCATAGACATTAGAGTCTTGTTATTATTTTACATCTTATTTATTTCTATGACTACGTTTCTTTGGAGTGTTTATTTTTACGGCTGTTATTCGTTCGCGCGCCGATCTCTCTCTCTCTCTCTCTGTCCCTTGCTCTATCTTCATGCATTCAGACACCTATACCGTTACCGGTGATGTGTGTGTTGTTGATGCGATTGGATAAAGATTGCGTTGATTCAATGACAAAAATAATAACAACCGCAGCGAAGCAACAACAATAACGAGAATGGAGGGAAAAAAATCGTATGCGATGTATAAACAATAAAATTAGTTCTATTGAGCGCTAGCTAAGAATTGACACTTTGATAACGAGTGTTCATTTGCACTTGATTGTTGAATTATTATCAACTGTGTTGGGCTGACGCAAAGGTGACATTTCTTGATTTTTGCTTCTTTTTGTGTGTGTGTGTGGCTGTTAATCGAAAATCATAAATAACCGCGCCGCGTCATTATTTACTGCAATTGAAGTTCGATGGTATTCGTTGCAATTGTAACCGAATGCCGACAATTTTGCGGTGCGTATTCGTCGCTATCATTTTGGTTGCTTTTCTTTCGCTTTCAGAATTTATCGTCGTTGTATAGAG